CCAGGTACGGTAATCAAGTTCATCTAGTGGATACGATTCGGACATCTGGATGTTCATTTTAAGAAAAAATATGAATAACAATATAATACACTTGCCAGGATTTGAACCTTGGCCACTTAGTTATAAAGCAATTAATCTAACCACTGGGCTACAAACGGACCCGCTATATACTAATTCGCATATTACTTAACAAAGTTTGCGTTTTTTCCCACTACCCTCCACCATGTCACTAAAATCCTAGTGCTATAAGCTAAATCGGACTGTTATATTATAGGTATTTGTTCAATGTTTAGATTAGATAAGTGGTTCCATCTGTATGTACTATCCTATTCTACGTGATTATACATTTTTTTTGTCGTCTGATATATGTGTGAGTCATATATATTTCCTAAATATCCGATTTGTATCCGTGAATATAACCGTATCCAATTCTCTAATATCCAAACCGTATCCATGTCCTTTTAGCACAGATATAGTCTTGACTTTTTCTAACCGATGCATATTCGTATCCGTATCCGTATCCGTATCCATTTTTAGAATGTGAATATAGATATGATAAGTGTTATATCCGAACCGTATCCGAACTAAATGCACCCCTAGTGGAAATGCAATTCGTATCCTTAACATGAAATTCATACGGTTGAACTTAACAGTTTAAGGCTCTACATAGTCTATTTCGGTGGTCCTTAAGAACTATTCATAAGTTTGTTTCCTTTTGGACTTGACATTGTCATAATTTTACAATGAAATCTAACTTTTTTAGAGTACCTATCACATGATTATCTCTGGTTTTATATAGATCGTATCTAACCAAATATGTACATTGAAACTTGAATATAATTAGGTAATGAAACTTAAAGTATCTAACCAGAGGTCTTGTTTGCGAATGTTTAAATTCCCAAACTATTTTGATATTTTGAGAGAATTTAGTGGTTGGCGTTAGATCTTAAAAAAGTTTGGTATTCTTTTTTTCAAACAGATCTTAGAATGAATCTTCTGGATATAAATTTCTGAGTAAAGTCTACTAAACTAGTGTTGTCTTCTGTTCGTTTTGTCGATGCTCCCTGCTTCTACTATATTTCTCGTAAGATTGACTGAAACTTCACATGCCTACCCTTAGGTACTAATTTATGTGCATTGTTTATATACTACAGCTTACTGAATCATGTACCTCATGACACAAATCCAACGTTTGGGTTCACATATCATCTGGGAACCATTTCTAGACTAACCAGATCTAGATAGTACTGAAAACAAGACTAGAGCTTTTTGAATTATTATGCTCTCATGGACACTTAGCAACTTGACACAGGTTCATTTATTTTGGTTGACCAATTAGTATTTTTCTATTACAGATGGACTTTTGTACTCGATGGGAGGAAATGGAAGCTGTTGTTCAAAAGTAGAGGGAGGAAGTGATAACTGCTTGCCCAAGGGATAAAGAAGAAATGAATCCTACTCGTTAGAAACTCGATATGTTTAAAGAGTGGCTTTTTCTGCAACAATAAATAGATTATAAGTTTATTAAATGCTTTAATTTGATTATCTACCAAGTACCAACTACAATGTTTTGCGCTTATGGTACGATTTAGTTCATTATGACAAGTTGTGTGGATGAATTATGAATAGGATGGATGCACAAAGGAACTTTCTCCAAGTAACACCAGATCCACAAGCTCTACGAAACTTGTAATATAATGAAATCTGAAAGAGTAGTCTTTTTTGCTAATTTTTCATTTATAACTTGTATTGTATTTTAATTGTATTTTAATATGCATGTAGTAAAGAAGAAAATTTGTGTTTAACTCTTAACTTTGAAAAATCTACTTTTTCGTTATATCTTTTGTGCTTTATCTGATGGAAGACGCAAATGAAAGTATTGGATATTTTTGTGTTTACCACCTGACTGTGTTTGATAAATATGTAACTAAGCATGTTTGATAAATGTTTTTGTGTTGCTAGTAATAAATGTTGTGCTGGCTACTTTCTTCCTTTTAGAACTTAATGCTTCTCGTTGAATTTTGTTGATGTTGAATTTTGTTGATGACTGATGCAATTGAGATGTTAGTTTGGATGACCCATTGAGGTGCATGCGGTGGCGAGGTGAACACCAGTGATGAAGCTTGCATCCTTGTTACTCTTCTGCATAACTTCTATAGAGAGGTGGTTTTTTTTCTAGTTGATGTCTTATTTGTTGTCTCTTTTGCTAATTTTAGCACTGTTATTTTGGTTGTCATTTGTGTAAACATGTTATCTATGGGGTTTTTGGTATGAAATGGATATAATTTATTCAGTACCAAAATGATGATAATAACACATTTACTTTCCTCAAACAAATTAAAAACTGATAAGCGCAAACATTGCTTATCAGAGAGACAGAAAAGACCCCACTGTACAATTGAATGACTCAGAAACCCCTACCTCTCGTCTACGTGTTTGAAATCAAAATTATACAACCATCTGAATATGTACACACTGCAACTAAGAGACACGAAGCCAAAAATATATACTCCCCTCTGCCATAGAGAAATGGACAACTCTATTAAAGTCACACGTCTGAAAGCTCCAGATGATTGAATACCCTATATTTTGTCTATGGATTGTAGGTGACAAAAGATTTGGGTTTTGGATTGCCACCTCCTGGACAGTATGCACTTGGCATGTTCTTGCCAAGTTATCCAAGTTTGAAGGGAACAAAGAAAAGTTATTTTTGCGAAAATTAATTCTATTTTTGCGAAAAACTATGCTCCAGATGATTGAATACCCTATATTTTGTCTATGGGTTGTAGGTGACATAAGATCTGGGTTTTGGATTGCCACCTCCTGGACAGTATGCACTTGGCATGTTCTTGCCAAGTTATCCAAGTTTGAAGGGAACAAAGAAAAGTTATTTTTGCGAAAATTAATTCTATTAAGTTTCAATGTGTAAAAACTATGCCAGTTTTTTGTTGTCCTTATGTTGTTTAAAAAAAATTCATCCTTTTTTTTGCTTGGGATTTCTTTCTTTGCTTATTATATGTTTTTTCTTTGTATTCTTCTCTTGAAAACTACCTATGTTTTTATATTTGTATGTATATCAGGTATGCTCTGATTCAACAAAAACTTAATGTATAAGCAATTATGGGATAGATTATTGAGTTTCCATGCTCTCATGCAGGTATACTCTCGGTTCCCCACAAATACCTTTCCTACTTGATATCGAGCTCAATCCATGCACATATTGGGTCACAATGGCTTATGATTTATGGTCTTTTTTACTGGTGTCTTAGAGTCAAGGAGTTGTTATGAGAACTTGAGTGCTATTTCCTTTAAATTTTTTTGGGTTGTAAAGTTGTATTGAAATGTAGATCTATGTATGCTTGGATTGAAAGTATGTACTAGAGAAATTTCTTCATTAATAAAAAGTTCTTTCTCCATTCTATTTACTTTCAGCCTTTATTTGGTAATTAACAAAAGTTTTCTTATAGACACATTTGTTAGCAACCTAATGTGGTTGCAGAGGGCTTTTACTAATGACGCTAATTTTAATTGTTAAACAGGTTGAGATATTGATGTTAAGGTTAATACTGACGGCTATCATCTTGCCATTAATATATTATTAATGATGTCTGCTATTTGTCATTAATGTATATTGATGACGGAATCAACTGCCAGTTGCGTCAAATATAACTAAATTTATCTTTACATTAACGTTGGTATATGTTGCTGTTGATGGTCTATTTTCCCTCATTACATTTTTAGATTAACGACAGACCATAAACGTTTAATTACAATTACATCAACATTAGCCTATAAACTCTGTCATTGTCAAGCTTTAACAACCGATCACATTTTTCCGTCATTGAATGTCATTAGCGTCGAAACCATTAACGACGACCCATAGCGATGAAGCACTTCCATCATTAATGCCTATTAATGTCAGATTTAAGGCCTAATTTACGACATTTTTTTGTCGTTAATGGACATTTTTCTTGTAATCAGAGCTGCATAGGCTAAATATGAAAATCAGTGTTTTCAATGCGCGAGGCGCAATGCAGGGCGCAGAGTATCTTTACGCGCACATGCGCAAGGCGTAACGCGATGTGCGCGCCCAAGTGATGCGAGGCACACACCGTACACATAATTTTTCACGATAGATAATCAAGCATGAAAGAACATCTTTATGAATTCACATAAAAAATATGTCATGATAAATAATATCTTACCAAAAATCACAATATAAGGTCTTAATTCAAATGCTAACACCCAACATAGTAGCATGGTTCATAATTTTTCAAGTCAAATGTCAAAACAAGAGTAAATCGAAGTAAAGGAGTATTTACAATTCTCAATTAAAGTTACAATCCTCAATTGAAGGCTACTAAAAAGTCATAATGGATTTATTTTGCTTTTTGGGATATGTATTATTGAGTAATAAAGACTCAATTAAAATATTAACAAAAATATGAGGGTATATACTACATGCACATTGCGGAAAGTCAGGATGCATGCGAGGTGCAAATGCCCTGCTGCATCAGATGTGGGGCGCTTGCCAATGCCCCGCATCGCAAGGCGCATGAGGCGCGCGTCTCTGAAAACATTGATGAAAATGTTTATTTTTTTTATTTTTTTGAAAATATGATTAACAAAATGTAATTAGTGAGCATCGGGAGAATGATAATCATGAGCAAAAAGAATCACAGATTAAAACTTCCATATGCATATGCTTATTCTAGTAGATGATTGAATTTTTAAACAATTAAATAATAGTTTAGCATATATGCTTAACAATAAACTCAAATTAATCCCGTAACTAAAGGAAGTGAATGATTGATGACGGCAAGAGTATAGATGCAAAATTCATTTTTTTTTTCTTTCGAAGGATATACATGTAATTAGACTTTTTTCAACAGGTAGATAAACTAAAACCACTAAATCTGTGAGAATATATGTGCAAACAAACAAAGAATAAATCATCTCAAAATGGAGTAGAAAATAAATAGAAAACACAACTACTTCACCTGATTATCCTTGAGCATCTCCCAGTATACATATCCAATACACGGGCTCTGCCGTCATCGCAACCAACCACAGCTTCTGGATCAATATAGCTGCAGGAGTGAAAATATAAAACAATTAAAAGTATGTAAGAGAGTTTGTGATATTACTTAAAAAAACTTTAGAAAAATTAGATCTAAAACTGATTCCTTAGCCCTATAAGCCACAATGTCTTTCTCTAACTTCTTTGATTCATCAACAAATTACTCAGAAATTATGTTTCACAATTAATTAACTGGAATTTTCTCCTTTTCTATTAAATAAACTCAAACTTCATGGATCATTTTTTTTCTTTTGAATACGGCAACATCGATTGATTCTATCTAGCTATGTTTTCAGTATAAAGTAGGACTAGAAGAAATGTGAAAAGAAAGAAGGAAAAAGTAACAGCTATGCTCATGGGATAAAAGTTGAGGGTAAAAGATACAAAAAGTTTTCAACAGAATATTTTCACGTTTAGGTAACAGAAAGTATAAACGTGTATTTACCAAAAAAAGGTATAAACGTATAATTTTAGAAAATACTTGGTTATTTAAGTGCAACAAATACAAGTGGGGTATATAAGTGCACACTTTAGTAAACTGTAGCTATTTAGGCGCAATAGTAAAGGTCTCAAGCAAAATTCAGGCAATGGACAAAAGAAAAAAAAAATACTAATATGCAGGATACTAGGTGATAATAATGGAATAAATATAGCATAAGATTAATTATATTGTTGGTAATAGCTGAAACAAATACATAGAGGTACCAAAGACATACATCAGTAGAAGCTAAAATCAAGTTGAATGAATAAATATACGACAACCTACCGCATGCACAAACCACGTGTTGAGCTGGCTTCACAAAATTGTAATATGCTTCTTTTCCCATTACGTCTCAATATGCACATTCGACCACTAGAAAGACCTACAATCTTAAATTTTAACAATGAATTAGGATATCAAATGGGTGACAACATACCTCTAAATTGAGATGTTATTGTGCCAAGGCATTTTTATTTTCGTGAATATCGTGACAAAAATGTGATCTCTTGATTCTAATAACTGACAAGGAATGATCTAAATTAAGGCATGCCAAATTTGCATAAAAAGATAAAATTTTGTTCAACATACATACACACACCATACTCTGAGAAAAAAATGTATTAATATGTTAAATATCGTTTTATTTAGCTATCTGTAATAGAGAACAGCTTCTGAGGGAAAAACCAGTCGAATACTGGCCGATTCATCACATTATGCATTTATTTATGTACCAAAGAAAAAGCTATGAGTTCTTATATTTTGATAAATGCTCCAGCTACCGCTATATGCCAGCTTATATAAAGCACTCATATAGCTGGCTGCTATATTTTAAGGAACACTGTGTATATATAAAATACAAAACAACATAGTATGTGACATAAGAATATCTGTTGATTATTCAAAAAGCATATAGATATAAAAGATCAGCCATGGATTGCTCATGGAGTCTTGTGTCTCCCTGTCATAGATCGTAATATGCTCCTATCAATAAGACATTCTTCCTGCAGAGATTCAGGGCTAAGGCAAAAGTGGGATTAACCTTGAAGGAGAAAAACACTATATTATTTCTATTAACACATCGCTAGATTTTTTCTACATTTCCAATTCTCTTTTATCTTACAAGAGTTCTTATACTAGATCTTATCTTAATGAGGTAAAAGAAATCATGATGCAGCTTCCAAACTTTTGATGTTTCTGTCAACAGTTTGTAATAGATCCAGGACACCTCCTGATGCAATCCTATGATGAAGGTTTAGCTGAAAGAAACTTTATTACCAAGGGGTTTCTCTTCAGAACTTTCAAGTGGCTTCTGAATTTTCAGATCATTTACAAAGCTCGCAAACTGTACCCTTATGGATCTAGCTGCCAGAACTGCACCCAATCTTGTTGTTTGAGTTTTTGCATTTGATCATGAGCCATTAGCAAAACTTAAGTTGTGGATATGAACAAAATATTGAGGAGCGAGTTTGAGCATTTTGCTCCTTATAATTTTTATGTTTGTTATCCTCAGACAATGATGCTTCTTTTCTTTTCTTTTCTTTTTTGAAGTAAAATTTTTATTTAATATTCTACATATATAGGGAAACTTTTCCCTGAGAATTACTCACAACAGGTTTCCTGAAAACTTCATGTTTTGTCATTCCATAGAATGAAGGGATTATATGCACTGTTCACCTTCATCTATAAACAAAAATTAGTCTAAAAGAGATAGAACTCAAAAGGGTTTTTTTTTTTAAACTTCTGGCATGATCAGCAACATTCTTTTCTAAATAGTAAAAATGACATATCTCAAGTAAGTTTTCAGGCCAAACCTCTCATAATTTAAATAATTTCATGGTCGAGCAAGATAAACGTGAAATATAAATTATACCGATTATGATAATGTATTTATATCCCATATTTCTAAACACGTCCTCTCAAAGTCCTTGCAGCAGTGGTTCCTTGTAGATGCAGTGGAACTATAAATTATGCAAAGCAAACTTTTGCACGTAAGTTGTTCTCCTGTCAGATAATAAACCAGTTGTACTGCAGAAAGCGTTATCAAGGCTAAGGCTGCCAAACCATGAGGTGCATGTGAAGATAAAACACAAGCAAACTGTATAATGCATGCAACTCTTGTTTAAGCTGAAGGAACAAAGGTGGGTAACACAATGATAATAATATACATGTATAATGTTAGAACATGGGCTGCCATGTTATATTTTCATAAATTTCTGATTCATTAGAAATTTTATCTGACAAGAAGTTTATATAAGGACAAGTTGCATATGTAATTCAAATCAAAGTCAATTACATCTTGCAGATGTAAACCAGTACATCTGTAGAAGAAAATAATAAAATTTCAATTTGTCATATAAGCTATACCTTGCCCTCATCAAAATCATAATCTACTAACGGATTCATGTCCGGTACAGCATACTCATCCAAGCTGTTGTAACTTTCTGCTGACCATAGCCGCAGTACCTACATATGAGGAAGAAATTCCAGGATGTGATAGGAATAGAATATTGGAGAACCATAAATATGAATACTACAAACTTCGAAATATATGTCCTTAAGAGATACCATGGAACAAACTATGTACCTATATGTCCTTAAGAGATACCATGGAACAAACTATGTACCTATGGAGTGTCCACTGGAAAAAGAACACCAAATTATTTGAAAATTCCTTACTCAAACAGCACCGATGACACAATTACAGTATCTTACAGGTATGTATTTCTACGACGCAAAGAAAGAACAGATAAATAAAGCTTAAAAGAACTGCAAATCATATATGATTATATGTTATTGTTACCCAGTTACATGAAACCATCACGCTTACCTGTACGATAAGAATCCAAAAAGCTACTTTTATATCCTGATACCCATTTTCAGTGATCGACAATAAATCAGCAAGTAGAATGCCGTAGAGGTTATTTTGCACTAAACATATACTATCTAAATTCAATAAATGAGTTTAAGTCAATAAAGGCAATGACAAGCACTTGAACTTCTTCATCAATCATCTTGTGCTGAACAATCTGACATTATGACAGCAAAATATAATTGATAAGTACAAATTGTACCGACATAATATACCTGCTTTCTGATACTTTCCTATGTCTTGTAAATTGAAAATATTCCTAGCTAAATATGTTATTTGTTATTGAAAGACAGTCTTACTTTATCCTCTGCTCCTGTGAGTATTAATCCTCGCTTCATACGACATACATTAATCCTAGAGTGAGAAAATAAATTAGTGCAAGATGAAAGAAGTTAAATTTCTTTGCCTAAAATTTTATAAATAAATGCAACAGAACACAAATAACAAAATTTCATTAAGGGACTGAATCTGATGCAAAATAACCCTGAGATTAGTTTACTTACAGATCATTGGGATAAAAATATCATGTAACTAAGCTAAAACAACATTCATGTGTTTTTATGCAAACCCTGAAATCCATGTGTGAATCATGATGGACAAATATGATTACTACAGAAACTACTCTCAGCTTTGAGATTTTGGAGCCAATCCTAGCTGAAAATTAAATGATTCAGTACTGGTTCTTCAGATTTTACCCATCTAAATTGAACAGAGAAAAAATAGGACAAGGTGCCCTATTCAATAGATAACTGAAAACTAAGAGAATAATGGGAAAAAAGGAAACTTCAAATAGAGAAACTAATAAAAATGTCATATGAATCTCAAAGAAGAGTACTTTAGTTAGACTAAGAAATATTATTTTTGAGGAACAAACAAATATGAGACCTGTCTTTGAGTTTTTAATTTGAAGAATAAAATAGACAAATCATACATGGGCCAACTGATAAGCTCTATTTATTAAATTTATTTTCACAATTAGATCCAATATAGATGTATAAGAGACACATCAGCTACCAGATTTCCATGACGAAATAAATGTTTGTTTGCAGAGATCAATATGTTGCTACAATCATTTTTTTTAATCTGGTTCTTTTACTAAAAAATTAGAACCTGGAAAGGCAATACAAATCCAATTAAAAAAGAAATGTCTTGGAATGCCTCATATTGTAAATCAAATCCTGAACGACGCTCATCCATACCTTTAAAATGAAGTTGCTTTCCTTACAATGTCATATATGTTTACATACTTAAAACCCTTTTACCAAAATATAATAGATTAATGGGCATTCAGCAGAATCAACAATGTCCTTCGAATGTGTAAGGTGGATAAAATATGCGAGTCCTAAATAAAAGAGAGAAAACAGTTTAGATATGTTGCTTTCTGCCTCTAATCTGTAGTCGTCCTCTCGTAAAAACATGCTCTGCCAACTGCAAAAAGTCCATCCTACTACATAGTTAGAATCAATCACTACTACCTGACAATCTTGACACTACATGATCATGTGACTTCTTTATACATATACCTACATATCAATCCAAGTGTTCAATTTGTTCATAAACTTGAGTTTCTTCTCTAGTAAAGCATGACCACATTCTTGGATGTCAAAGGGGAATAGTAAATATCATTAGGTGCTAAAATTTAATAAGAAAAAATGTTGAATTTCAAGCAGTTGTGGTTAACCCCAAAATGACATGATTTTCTTAGATTTTTGGTATATATACGCCCCCCCCCCCCCACCCCCCCCCCCCCCCCCTTTCCTTTCTTTAGTATATTGCAGATTATTATCTGGTCAATTCAAACTCGCAAAGAGAATTGCTAAGTCCAAGTTTACAACATGTCTTCCTGAAATATAAGTTTGCATGACATGTCCATTCTCTTTGTGCTTGGTGTAAGGTAGAGAAGTAGATATAAGGAAGATAGGTAGAGAAGTAGATATAAGGAAGATGGGTATAGTCACTAAGATTGTTGTGACTATGGGCCTATGGTGTTCCTATGAGATGGCATTTAGACAATCTAATGGCTATCAAGTAAGAAAAGCATGTGACACTGTATGTGCGCCAAGTGTGAACTGGTTGGCAAAAACATAGGTTTGGACCTTTCAAATAATTTGGGAACTATTATATAGAGGATACTTTCTCCTTTGGAGAGTTGGTACCTGAAGCATAGATACTACAAGTTTGATCATCTGCGACTGATGCTCACAGATTTGCAAATGTTATTTATCTCAAATATTATACATATAGTATATGCCCCTTTTGAGAAAAGTAACTATTTTATACATTGTTTTATTAAATTTAGGTAATTATTTGAATATCAATCTGAAAAAATGAAAGTCATTCATAGCAACTTATTATATAGGAATTTACGAATCAAATAAGGATGGAAGTTCTTAAGCATTAAGTGAAAGTTTTTTATAGCAGCCAATGAACTCCCCATTATCAATGAGGATATTAAAACATGCCTCAAGAGGACATGGGGGTGAACATCCTATAACCAAGGATAGAGCAGAGAGCACTACAAGGCTAAACAACAACAAAGTCTTCTATCCCAAGATTTTGAGCTCGGCTACATGAAATTGAATCCTACTCTTCCACTTAGTTATGTTGGGAGCAATCTCCTCCACTAAGTTAATCATTGTTCACCGTCATATCCCTCTTAACAACTTCCGACCAAGTTTTCTTAGGCCTCCCTCCGGTCCTTATTTCTCCATTACTCATAAGCTCACCGCTTATCCTAATTGATCTATTTAATGATCTTTATTGTACAAGGCAAAACCATCTAAAAACGATCCTCTCATTTTTATCCTGAAGGAGCAACATATAGCCTTCCACGAATATACTCATTTCTTATCGCAAGTGTCTGACTTTAGAATGCTGAACTTCCCTAAAATCACATGTTGCATACAAATCATAAATACGAAAACAGCTTGCGTCTATTGAAACAACGGGGGGGGCGGGGGGGGGGCGGGGCGAAAGGTAAAGTTACCTGGCACGAATGAGCATTCCATTGACGAATTTGAGCAGAAGAAGCTAGAAACCCCAACCTATGCTGCTCCATCGCTGTATACTCAAGAAAACTCTTCATCGACGTCTGCGAAGGAACCGAAGCATTAAGGTTTACCCTCGCGTAATACAGATCCCTCATCAGAGTAGAGGAGAAAATTGCATCATTCCTAGAAAAAGAAACACAAATAGTCAAACTTAAATTATACAATTATTATTATTATCAGCAACAGGCTAGTGATTTATGAAAATTTTAAGAAAAAGACCATGATTTGCAGACGATGGAGCAGCGGATGAGGTGCACGTGATCGAGGAGGGAGAAGATGGCGCAGAGGAGATCGGTTCCGAGAGAACGAATGGGAGCAGCGTTGTCTCTTCGCTTTCCGCCAGCGGCGG